CGATTAAAGTTGCTACTATTACTTTTGGAATAATTGAATTGAAGTTATGAAATAGATCAAATCGTTGTGTGCCAGATTCCGAGATGGAGGACTATTCAATTCCAACGTCTTGAGGGTTATCCAGACCTATGGCGTATTCGGTAGGGATTGAAATCGAATTAAGATTGAAAAATTAGTCGTCATTGTTGACTTTTATTATACGAGTGAGACTCAATAACGGTTATATTTTCAATTTAGTTAGATTTTAAGCACGACGGAACACGTCCCTAGTAAGTATACACTGTAAGCTTTTGAAATAGAAGGCTTTGTTTAAATTTTTTACTGATGAAAAATTTGGGAGTATGATTGCAATTAATTATTTTTTTTCTTTTTAATTTAAATAGGAGGACATATTCGTCATTTCACAATTTTTTATTGAGAAATTGGATGAGAATAATGATTTCCGAAATAAAAGGGGTGAAAATCCACAAAAAAAAAATGAAATGTAGGGACATTTTATACTAATAACCCTTAGAAATTTATAGGAAATACGGACCATTGAATCCTTGATATTTACTCAGAATAATATTGTAAGTTTCCAATAACAAACTAGTGATACAAATAGAGTTATTGTTGTCAATTAGAAGTGAGAATGACCAAGAAGGTTCAAATAATTAAGTTGAGAAAATGTGATCAAAGTTAAGACTGTAAGACAACAATGACCGATTACCATGTAAGACGACAAAAATGAAAAAGATAAGCAAATAACTGACATTTTCCTCAGTTTGCAACTATATTATTAAAATGAAATGGTGCATCATTTATATCAAACAAGGATTTCCAGATCAAAGATAAATAACACAAATGAATGTGGGTATGCAACAGCATAAAAAGCACAAATTAACTCACATCAGGGATTATAATCCATCTATTATTCATGAGGAGCTAAATGCCTACACGAATAATAGAAATTTACATGGAAAGATTGAAAGATCTACCTGTAACAAGGTTCCCTGACTTATTGCTGGTCGTTGAAGAGGAAGGTGTAGTCTTCGGGTACATCACTAAAGTTGGAAGTTGGAAAAGAATTTGTTGTCTCTAGATTCGAAAGTTTAAGAAAGAATTTCAAAAAATAAAGGAAAAATAGTGAAGCAAGACTATAGGTCATACCAGATTCTATCAAAAAAGATCTGGCCAGTGAGCACATCAACCAGATGCACTGGAAGTGAAGAAGTCACCTGTCTTTGGTCTTCAGGCATTCTTAACCCTTCATGTGAATAATAATAGTATTTAATATTTAAAATGAGCAGAAACCAAAAGGAGGAAGTTGCTGAGCTAAAGATGTATACCTCTGACTGTATCAGATCATAATGAAGCTCCGAGGGCTAGGGGTAGTTGTCCCAAAAGAAACAATTTTTTCGATACTTATTTCTACATATTGAGTTTTAGAGTTATATCTTAAAGGTTTAACCACATTAAGAGAAGTAGCGCACGCCCTTATTGTTGAGTTAAACTCAAAAATTATATGTTGTTTTAATACAAAATAAGATACACACAAGGCAACTCTCCAATATTTTATTCACACAAATGTAACAACCCTCGCCCATTGAGCACTCAACTGCCACTAGCAGTCACTTATCATTATCTCAAGTTCATGCACTGTTATCACTCTTACACACAATACATGGACTAACACATATATATAGATGCTGAAGTCAGTGCACACAATAGACTCAACTTTTCTAGATTATTCTACTTATGGCAGTTGAATCAACAATAATTCTAGGTGCTATTTGTATGTTGACAGCTTTGGAAAAATCTAGATATATGAAATGGAAGAATCTTGATATTTCCATTTCAAATCAGTGTTGTTTCTTCAGTTCTTCCCTTAATTGTAACTCCTCTCTTCTAATCATTGCCTTTTTCCATCTCTTTCATTGGAATGTTTCTTCAAACGTCATTAAATCTTTGTTTCATTTGTACTCTCGTCTTCTTCTATTATTGAGTTATCATACTTTTGATTTGATTTTTATTGTCTAGCAAACTTCCTTAGGCATGGTTGTGGACTCGTACATACCTTGACCACTTTTTGTTGGCTTGGTGTATCTTCTCGTGATGTCTGATATACTCCCGTTTGCCACAAACTTTTATTTTCTCTTATGTGCTGTTCTTTGTTAATTGACTCTTGCACATCTTTAATTTCCTCATGACTGTGTAGTATCCTTGGATGCTCTTGTTCACTACTTGGCTCCATCACATCTTATTTTATCAATGTCTTACTTCAGTACATTGCTATGTTGTCGTCTCTTGCGACTTGTCTTCAATCTCCATTGAACCTTTTGGCTCTATAATCGGTGGTTTCTGCCAATAAGATGTTCCTTCAAACACTTCTATTACTTTGAAGTTTGGTAGTTCTTCCCTATGCAGAGTCCACCAATAATACTCTTCATCAAGCACCACGTCCTATCCTGAGTCTTCTATCAAATCATTTTCATAACCTATTTGTTCCAAGAGGACCACCTTCTTTCTCTAGGCTGAACTGAGTTTCTCCACACAAGTCTTCCTAATTATTGTCGTGTCTACCTCAACATCTCATTCTTCCTCACTATTATATTTCTCTTGCTCATTAGAGGTTTCTATTGCTATATGGCCTTCCGCTGGCTCTTTTTTAAACCAACAATCAATAGCATGATGGCATCGTATTCGAAATACAAAGCACAAGCCATTAACTCGTTGATAGCCCCTAAGATGATTGGCCTTTCTTATAGATAATTTTTTAGGCTCCCCTTGTATGAGAACTTCCTTCAAGTTGTCCTTTAGATTATCTTCTTTTAATTCTTTATTGTTTTGTGGCTGATTTGCCTCTTCGTTTGTATTTGATATATGATGCTTCTTCCTCTTCTCTCTTTAGTGAGGCCTTGGTGAACGCTTCCTAGTCGTCTAGGAAATTTTCGAGATAGAATAGTGAAAGTTGCTTTTGTTGTATTGTAGTAATAAAGCCTCTAAATTTGAGTCTCAAAGAATTATCCTTCTCATCCTGGACACCAAAAGGTTACTCAAAGAATCTAATTCAAAGTTTTTGTGACTGAGAAATTTAACCTTATTAAAATATTGATTTATTGTGATCTCTCCCTGAGCAATAAAGAGTAGCTCATTCTCTAAAAGCTACAACCTCAGATCATTTGTCTTTAAAAACAGTGCCACAAATGTGTCCTATGCTTCCTCGGTATTTTTTGTCCCTTATGAGTTCCAACAATTCATCATCGATTGCTATCTTAACTACAAACATGGCCTGACCCTCATTAATCTCCTATTTCTCCAAGCTCCAGTGTCATCCGATGGTGTCACGTCACTATCGTCGACTACAGCCCGTAAGTCTTACCTTTGGAGATATGAGCCAAGTGGTGTAATTATATCTATTGAGCTGCTTCACTTCGTCTACCACTTGTAGGTCACCCATCATGTCTTGTATAATCTCCCCATTACCAAGTAAGCTTTATGAAAGCTTCAAAATCTAACTTTGTACACGATATCAAGAAGCTCAAAAATCTGTCCCCCTAACTGCATCCTCTGAAACCAAATTGTAGATTTCAACTCAAAAATTATGGGTGTGTTTGAGCCACATTATTTTGGAAATATGTACTTTGGAATAGTGGAATGATGGAGAATATGTGGTTGAAAAAGAAGGAAAAGTTATTGATGTAATGGAAAATATTATTTTATTGAAGAACGTGTAGTTGAAAATGAGTAGAAAAATGAAAATGAAAATTTTAATGTGACTCAAACGGGGGGCTATAAAATATTTTATTAGATAATCATATACATACATGGCCAATCACCCATATTTTATTCACACAAATGGAAAAACCTTCACCCAATGAGCACTATAATGCAACTAGCATGCACTTATTACTATCTCACGTTCATGTACTCTATCAATCCTACACAGTATGTATGGACTAACCCATATATAGATGCTAAAGTTAGTGCACACATTAAACACATCTTTTCTAGACTATTCTACTTATGGCACCAATAACTGTAGGTGCTTCTTGTATGTTTATAGCTATGGAAAAATCTAGAGATAGGAAAACGGAAAAATCTTGATTTTTCCTTTTCAAGTCATTGTTGCTACTTCATTTATATGTTTATTATTGTTTTCATAGTTAACTGGCGTGAAATTTTAACCTTAACATGCCATGCAACCGTCTCAAAATACCAATCTTGGAATTCTTTCAAGCTTTAGACAAGCTATTCGGGTTCTTATGCCTTTTAAGAGGAATACCAAGACTCCACACTTTAAGATAGATATCAATTGTAACTCGAAGATGAACCTCATTTTTCAAGTTTCCAGTCAATCAGGCACACAGAAAATTAACTTATCCCTATAACTTTTAAACTTGTAGATTAGTATTGGTGTAACAGAGTAAAATAAATCTTTGCAATAAGTGCCAATGGCCTACTGTTACTAAAGAGGCTACACAAATAGCTCCTATTTGGTGAGGATTAAAATCAAATTTTTAGTAGATTTTGATAATAGTTGATGAAATGTGTGGTTGAAAAATTGTGGGTCTCATGAAATATGTGGTTAAAATTAATTGTTGATTTTGACTTAGATTAAAATCTGAATTTTAATCCCAACCAAACATAGGCATAGTTGCTTAATATGCAAAATTTATAATAATGGTCTGTATTGATGCTGTTCTGTACATTATAAAATCCAATTAGATCATATCAATTCCATTACACCTCAGGCTGCAAAGTATAAGGATCATCCACAGAGCACTAGGCCAAAAGCAACTCACCCACCTTTACCAGATTGGCAATGGAGAACTCCCCTCTGCATTTAAATATGTTCAGACATCTCAATCCTACAGCCACACGTACTTCAACTCATAAGAAAATAAACTGGTCCAATTAAATAGTACTCGCTTCCAGCAGACATAGTTGAAGGAACTAAGCATATGAATCTTTCATGTGTGGGGTAGTAGAAAGGATGACAATAATATAGCGAAGTATTCTCAAGATTTGACAATAATATGCAAAGGAAAAATATGCAAGATAACTGAAAAACTCTCAGAGTAAGCATAGCATAGACAAAATAGCAGGGAAGCCTGTAAGGCCGTAAATGTAACACCTTCACCATGATTTACAGCACTCTGAAGCAAATTCTCTTGTTCTCGTATTTTTGCATCTTGAACCGCGTCAATTGTTGGAAGAACTAATGGTCTTAGTTTTTTCGTATAAATGGAAATGTAAGCATTATTAGCACCTGCCCAGGCTGCTTCAATCTTATCCATTATAGTCTGAAAATAGTATAGACGGGGACAATTTCAAGTGTTTTAATATGGATAATTCAACGGTGACTGGTCGTAGGATTAGGTCACTCACCTTTAGCTTCTCAATTTGTATAGACACTGGTAGGTTTTGCATCCCATTTAACAATTGCTCTCTCTTTGTGCTGTCATCTATCTCCATTTCATGCAAAAGCTTTGATGACAACATAGCAGGTAGAACTGTATCCCAAAACTTAGTAAATTATGCTCTTGTTCTTCAAGATGATTCTTTTATCTTGAGTAATATATCTACCAATATTCCTAATTATTTCACAAACAAATGAAATTAACATCAAAATACCAAAAATAAATTAAAAAAGCATACCAGTTGCATTCTCGCCATTGACGTTGTTCGGATGCACAACAAAAAGCTTTGAAGCTTCCTCAATCTCTTTCAAAAGTGTAGATAGTCCCAATTCTACCATTGAAAATTTCCCCCAAATATAATACCTTTTGCATGCATACATAACCACAAAATCAGCTACATATGAATAGCTAAAATTAAGAAGTTCCACTAATTTCAGGCATATTTTAGGCTACTGAATAACATACCATTTAGGAGAAGTGTTGGTTCGTAAAATGGCGTCGAAGTCGTTGAGGACTCTAGAGATGGTCTCGGAGAGGGTAATGGCACGTCTCTTTACCCATTGGAGGTTGAGATGCTGCTGATACAGACGATTCAGCTCCTCCACCACCTTCTCAGGAGACTGTTGCTGTTGGAATCCCGCTGGCGCGGCCATTTACTGTTCACGATTCGACCAGTTATCCACTATATTCAGTTATTTCCGGCGGATTCCGCAATGGTAAGTCGCTTTTAAAAGAATAGCCGTTGTTTCAAAAGTGGCTAAATTTCATTAGCAATCACTGAACTTTCACAGAATTTCAATTGACCCACTACAATTTAATATATATCAATTAAATTATGAAACATTAATTTAATCTCAAATTTCACCCCTCCGCATTTTTTGTCACCTATAGTCTAATAAAAATTACTCAGTTAATAACCATACCGTAATTGAGTATTCCATCCATGGGCGGACCCAAAAAGGAAGTTCAGTGAGGGTGAAATCAAAAAACCTTAAAAAAAAATCTGGAAACATAAAGAAACCTGGACAAAAAAAAAATCTAAAAATTTGGAGAAAAATCGGGAAATATGAAAATTGAGTGGGGCAGTGGCCCCCACTGGGTCTCATGTAGGTCCGCCACTGATTCCACCTAATCGTTAAATGGTATAGAAACGAGAATTATGATAATATCTTTAAATTAAAAGGTTAAAACGAACATTGATTTGTGGTAGTGATGTCACGTTGATATTGACAAGTCCTCTAACAATTGCAAGTTTGCTTACTATAAATGATTTAACAATTTTTTGACATTCTCCTGGTTACATGAACTAAACCAATTCGAAATGCGAAACAATTTCTAAACACAAATATATGATCACGACTAGAATTATGTCGCTCTTATGTTATTTGGAAGGACTAATCTAGTTATACAACTAGTAAGTTGTCAAGATTGGCTTATCCCTTGTATTGGCTTTGAATAAGTGATTGCTTGTGTCCTCGATGTTTGAGGAATACGAGTAAAACTGGACATTGAATCGTTTCATATACATGAATTGTTGTTCCGCTCACCTAACTCCACTATGGCATCGATCTATTTATTCAAGTATATATTTCAGTATACATGTTTTCCACGTCACATATTAAAATAATATTATTATTTAGCCTTTATTTGAGCTCCATTTTGGGAAGATAATGTATTTTTAAATAGTAATTTTTGTAGAAAACATGTAAGTAAAGAAGAGTTATTTTTTTTTATTTACATGAAATAATTTTTATGCAAGTTTGAAAATGAGTTTTGAAAAAATTAGATAAGCCTACAAATAATTGGGAGATATGATTTATGAAATGAGTTAAGCACATTAAAATTTTTATTCTCATTCTTCTACTCATTTTCAATCACACATCTTTCAATAAAATAATAATTTCCATCAAATCAATAACTTTTCCTTTCTTTTCAACCACACATTCTCCATCAATCTACTATTCCAAAATACATTCTTCCAAAATAATGTGGATCAAACACACCCTTATTAAGGTCTTAGTGGTGATATTGTTCGTATACTAAGTCAGTTCGCTGTAGTAGAATCTNTCCCAATTCTCTCAATTTATTCAAAACCCTAGAATCATCTCCAATCCCAATATCAATGTATTTATTGATTATGCTCCTCGGAAATCGCAAATCTTGTTGAATATCAGGTCAGTCCAGATTAAGCGCCACTAATTATTTCATTTAATCTCTGTATGTTTTTGCTCAAAATTAGTCTTTGATTTATTGATCGTTTTCAAGTATTATATTAATTCTGCCCAAAATTGTAATGCTTGACGATCTTCTTTAAATAATTCCTTTAATTTGCTGACTGGTACAGAATTGATAACCTTGTGTCACTTTAAGCTAATGCCATAAAGCCTTGTTATCCAAAAAAGAGGAATGATTGGGTTATTACTTGACTTATCTAGATTAAGCATTGGTTTCTAGAAGTTGGCTTATACCATTCTAGAATCACCACTGAAACATTAGTTTGATGGCTAATGCATGGACTTCTTTTTTCCTTTCCTCGGATAAGCCATAGAATCCCTGTTACATTCTTGTGGATTGAAACGTGATTCTCGGAACTCGAAGAAATGAGCATAAATATTAAACTACTGACTAGAGATTTTGTACATTACAAGATATGGCTACAAGATTTATTGAAATACTATTTGAGGATGATTTGTAGTTGCAATATAGGTTGATAATAGTGCATCCAAGATGGAGCACTCCAGCTTCATTGAAATATTATTTGTGTACATTAAAAGATATGGCTACTAGCTTCACCTGAATGAAGGTTTAAAAAGTTACTTTCCAGTTCCACTGTTTGATTGTAAGCTTGTAATTGGCATCTCGCCTTCTAGACTGTCTGTGAAGCTAACAGAGGAAATCTTGATCTGGTCTAACTTTCTATGCAGGTTTTTTTTATCTTTGTTGAGATGGTTTGTGGCAATAATAGCTTTGGCCATGATTGTTGCAATTTAATTTTCATTCAAAATTTTTAGCAATGCAATTAGTACCAAATGATATTCGGACAGAAGATATTTCAGAAACAGAGCCCATTTTGTCGCAGCCTAGTAGAGTTGAGAGATCAGAGGAATCTTCCTCGTCAATTGAAATAACTGTGTGTGGCGATTGTTCTATATCTTATGATGACCTTCCCAGTCCTGATGTTCATGAAAATTACTCTCTGGTGCAACCAGACCAACCACAATGCCGGATATGCCTTGACTCTGAAGGTGTTTTTTCATCATTTACGTTTTCCTTTACTAGAGCTAAAGAGTTGTGAAAAGATGTTTATATAATACTTGTGTTATGGATGAGTTTTTGATAGTCGACCATTTATTCTTCAGTTTGAGAACCAGTAATTCTATCTTGATTTATTGAAACTTTAGTAATTATATTCAGGAGAAGATTTGATTGCACCATGCCATTGTAAAGGCACCCAAAAGTTCGTCCACAGATCATGTCTTGATAATTGGAGGTCAACAAAGGTAAAATTATATACTTTTTATCATTCTCCACTTCTGTGATCTCTTATACCTTAGAAACTTTGCCGATTGATGAGGCCTAAATTTTTGGAGAAATTGTTGCCAAGTTTTACAAGAAAATTCTTCCACCTGAAGTGCAACTTTATATCAAGTGGTTTGGATTATATCATGTCTGGCTGTGATGCTTTTAATTTGCTTGGACCAAATCATATTCCATTTTGTTCTGCTGGCTGCTTGCTGGCACCCAAGATGCATCTTACGTATTAGCATGAGTTTGATACATGTAAAATAGAATTGGGAAATTAGAAAATAAAGAATATGAATGCAATTATTGACAGCCCCACATTATCTTTTATGTCAAAAACTGGATTATCCAATCCTTGAATTTGAGTTAATTTATATTGAGTTCATTTATTGATTTCACTATCTGTAATTTATTAAACCAGGTATTTCACATATAATACAAAGGGTCATGATGTCTGATTCATTTCTCATTGGTTTACTCTACTGCTGTTGGTTTGTAAGAGTTTTGATTGTAAAATTTGATCTCACTGGACCTTTCCGTTGAGCTAACTCTAGATTAAATGGAGTAAAGAAGAAGTTTCACGTAGCCAAACCAAAGTTTATATGGAATAGCACAGCTTCTCGTCGTTGTAGCATTCCTCATTTGGTCATTATCCTTTTCTTTCTTTCCCCATTTGCTTTTTGGGAGGGGGTGTAACCGTAGAAGGCATTGCCATTCTGGAACTCAGTTTATGGTGCTTGTTGGTTGATTGTAAGATTTCTTGGAAATGTCATCAAATATCTATTTTACCTGATATGCTTCTTGTCAATTGCTTCGATGGTTTCATTGGACTTGCAAAGAAAAGTTCATTAGCTGGATTTCCTTGAATGTAGAAGATTTCACATAATATGATTGAAATCTTTTCCGTAGGTTTGTCCTTTACTCCTAAGTTATTGTACTAGCTAAAGAAGATTTTTCATTTTGTATATTTGCCTACCAAACATTTTTTTCCTGTTAGCAGCTTTTCTTATTAATTATTCATCTTTTTCTGCCTTCCACTATCCAGGAGGGCTTTGCTTTTGCTCACTGTACAGAATGCAGGGCAATGTTTATATTGCGCGCAAACGTCCCCCCTGACCGTTGGTGGCTGAGATTAAAATTTCAAATTCTTGTTGCAAGGGACCATGCGGTCATTTTTGTTGTTATTCAGCTGGTATGAAATGCTTCTTTTGGCTGTAGTTTTTATCAAAATGTTATGATGTTATGGTCTGTTATAATTACTGAACTGGTCATTGAATCAGAGTGTGTCTTGTTATATAGAAAAGATGCCAGGACAGAAATCGATCTCTTTTCTGGTTTTTTTTTTTCCCTTTTTTGGTAGTTTTAATCTATAGTGTCTAAGCTTCCTCTTACAATGTCTTATCTGATATCAAACCTAGCTTACTCTCAGCAGTCAGCAGTTGTTTATATTTCAAGGCAGCCATTATACTAGCTACTAATTAATTATCAACGATAAGGCATTAATTGTATGTATGTAGCATCCCCCCATTGTAATGTTAATGTATGGTTTCCATTTAGTCTCTCCACTATGTATAAATTTTCGCAAGTGGAGCCTCAAGTGGTGCAGTCTGTGATGTAGTACTGAGAGTCACTACAGCTTATAGACCAGGGCGGACTAGCTATAATTTAAAGGAACTATTTCATCATCAATTGTGTGTTTGACGTATGGATGTTTCCTGTTGTAAATTTTGTATTTTCCCCTTATTCCACTTACCAATATCTGTTATTCACTGTTTTCTTCTGATTGTCCAATTCCCTAGAACTGACCAGATTACCTCTCCAATATATACAAAAACAATCAAATTACTTCCCAAGTGGGATGACCAATTAATGCTATAAATGTTCCGCAAAATGGTTTCTGAGAGTCAGGCAGGGTGTTACCATGACATAATAACTCGTCAATATTGCACAGCACATCTAAATGCCTTGCAGTTACTTCCTATTTCTTTAATACGATCTTAAAATTAATCAACAATACGTCAACATACGTTTTTATAGTAATATGAAACATATCTGGCTCTTAGATACCCGCACAGGAAATTGGGATGGGAGATCTCTCATAATTTAAGTTTACAATACTTGTCTTGATATGAGAATGCCTTAGTTATGGACATGGACTAGATGTGCCTCAACACTTTCAAAGCCGACTGAATTATTGAATATGTCATTTAGGTTGCAGAAAACTCGCTAAAAATCTAGGACTCTGACCCTGGTTTTTAGTAACTTAATCCATTGTCAACATTGTTTCTTGCATCACATGCTCATGAAGAATATTTTAAAACGTACCTGAATTTTGTGAAGGCCTGATAAATTTGACACATTGTTTTGGAAAGACAAGTATTGTAGGCTGGAGAACTTTATATGAATTGTAGAAACAATGGGTAGAGTTAGAAAAAAAGAAGTTAGACGTCCCTTAATATGAAAATATATTGAAGTTTTGAATTCTTTGGTTTTGTAAGCACTTTGTTCACATATATGAGTAAGCTGTATGTATGAAAGAAGACAAATGTTCTCCCATGTTTCTAGTTGTTTTGGTTATTTCTTGTTCTTGTGATTTTCTTTTATAGTATTGTTGCTTCCTACATGCTCTAGATGTGAAAAAACTACATTTAGAGACATTATTGAGTTAAGATAATCAGTATTTTCACACTAAGACTTTCTGTAGATTGTTGCGTTTCTAGGTGTACTTGTGTACAAATTTTATGGAGAAGAACTAAGGGAAATGTTTGGTTATGAAGAACACCCATATGGATTCTACACAATGGCAGGTAAATGGCACTTACCTATTTTATAATTGTACATTAGCATTCTTTTTCATTGTTAACTGTGTACTGATCAGTTGCAACATCATTAATCTGGACATCTCAAGACATCTCCTGACGTTTGGCATATGACTTCTGTAATGTCAAGTGACATTGAAGCAAAATTATTTTGCTATTGAATTGCCTGATGCCTTAATCTGCTTATGTTTTCTCTAACTTTGGATAGCTGATTTATTGGCATGAGAGGACGAGCTCTTGTATTTCAGAAGATCACATTGCTCATCTTGATCTAATTAAACTAACATACTTGTAAACTTCATCGCCTATCTTATAACAGCTCACTGTATTCTGATGACAAGGGAAAGACTAATTTATGCCCGCTGGGCTGTTCTAACCATGGTAAACAGTATGTTTATACCAGCAATGCCACTGAGAATGTGTTGGTTGCTTCGTTACAATGCACAAGTAATGCTACTAGCTGACAAAGAGTGACTGTTAATTAATGACGTTCTAAGACACCATATATCAACCTGCTGACTATGTGTTCCTTAGACCATAAGTGCAATATCTGTAATAAGAAATCTGTGGATTCAACTTTCTTAATTTGGCATTTTATAGATACTTATAGCATGCTAGATTTCTCACCTCACCATATTGATGTATTCCCATCTTTTTAAATTTGTCACACTGCAGTTTTAGCAATTGTGTTGGTGGGATTGCTTTATGGATTCTTCATTGCAATAATATGCGGACAGAGGATCAATGAGCGCCACTACCATGTTCTTGCCAAACAAGAACTAACAAAGGTTTAATGTTCCATATAGACTTCTGGACTAATTACTTGTGGATGTGCAATATTTAGCTTGGGGAAAATAATACGAATTGAATCAAAGTGGGTCATCTCAATCGAAGAAACTTATCATCTTGTCTCCCCCTGTTTTTCACACGAGTCAGTCAACATTGTTCAAATATTGAGCTATTCACTAAAACCTTCTTTTTGTCTTAACTATTCATAATTATCTACCTTAAGGGGGTAGAATCATTTGGGTGATAAAAACATAAATTTGGAATGATGTACATTTCTTCATATTGATTTTTAATTTTATTGTTTCAGGAATATGTGGTAGAAGATCGAGAAGCTAATAAAGATGTGCCTGAACTTGATCCTAGCCATGTCACCGAGCTAAGAATGCTGGGCCTCTATTAAGGCAAGAACTTTTGCCTGCCTAGTAGTCACTTCTGTAAGTGTTAAATGCCTAGTAGTCATTTTTTTCTGAATCTGTTCGTTGCTATATAATGTATCATTTCTCATTTCATACTTGTGCGAGCACAAAAGATTNTTTTTTTTTTTTTTTTTTCTGGTGATGATTATGTAGCTCTAGTTAGCCACAGCATTCCTTAGTCCTCACAAATTTTTAGTGGCATCATTTCATAAGTTGTACCTTTACCAAATATTGGGTTTATCTCATAACTTGTGATTAACATCGCAGTGTTAAAATGAGAAAAGAGTGTGCAATTCAAGAGAGATATTTAAACAATACTATTGTTTCAAGGTTATGAGATTTCAATCCAAAAGAAGGTGACTCAGATAAATTTTAACGGGTGGATATGCAATGAATCAAGATATTATTTTATGCATGTGGTTGCCATGCAAATGTAGCTTCATCAAGCAAAGTGTGAGATTGGCCCCCTGATCTCCTTGCTCTTGTAATTCCTAATTAGTTTTAGTGGATACCATATGAATAGAAAGCCCAAATTCTTGTGCATTTATACAATTTACGTAGTAGATTTCACAAAGCTGAGTGGGGGCATATTCGGCCAATAAGCCAATGTTGGCTACTTGCTAAGCAAGTATTTTTTCTGCCTTGCTTCATGCTTTTTACTTGTTTAAAGTTGCACCACATGATTCTACATACTACTTATTTTCTACATGCCTAGTGTTCTAGTATCTTAATCCCGAGTTGGTATTCATGATTTAAATTCTACGAACTTTATGAAAGGCGCATGCCTTTAGTTTATATCATTGAAGTTCTAATACAAAAGTATCTTTTCCAGGGTTTCCATTCCATGGTGCTTTGGATGTATTACAGTTTTGAAATGGAGATATTTACATGGTAACCACAGTAATTACTCTTATTCAAGCCGCATATTTGAAACTGTATTTTTTTTTTTAACTTTCTTTTCAAAGCCATGGTGTCTGAATAGAAAAGAAATGTTCACGAGTCACATTGTCTTTTTCCACTCAAGTTTTATACAATTTATTTACTGAATCTTGTTATTGTATGATGTGAGTTTTCGCCTTGATTTCATCACTATAATGTTGTCGTTTAGTCAGTTCCAATGGAACCTTGTTGCCTTAAGAACAATGTCAAACCAATCTTCACGAGCCCACATATTGTAGGAGTATTCACACTACCGGTCTATGTTGCCACTTTCATCGAATTTGTTTTTCACACTAAGCTCTTGTGAGTTTGGCAACGAAATGGCTTGAAAATTTTTGCAGTATGTTTTGGTGTCTTTTAAGTAATTCAACCTTCGTCCATCTTTAGATCATACAATGTATCTTTCTACTGGAACAAATTTCTCAATAGTTTTTCCAATTAAAAATTCTCCATTTTCTACCATAATTTATTTTTGAAAGCCTTCTAATGATGTACTTATTTTTGGAGATCAAATTTCACAAACATAAACATTTCAAATTCTAAGCCCTTGGATGAAGTTTTCCCTAATTCTTTAATGACGATGCAACCACTTCTGTAAAAAAAAAATTAGTTCATATGAGAAGCGCAACCAAACTTTTTATCATTCAGGATTAGACCTGGAAAATTCACCCCAAGCACAATTCATTCTGGGCTAATAACATTATGGAATAGGCTCCCATGTTCAAGTGCTGCTACACGTTATTCTACCCTTCTAGAATATCAAACATGTAGCCTCCTACGGAGATGCAACCATTTTTTCCCGGAAGTTATAATTAATAGGAAAGGCGCTATTGAATCCTTTTACTACCTAAGATCAAGCGCGGAAATTCATCTCAAGTACTATTCCTTTTGTGTCCATATCATGACAAAATAGGTTTGCTCCATGTTCAAGTGATGTTTCGCATCATGATCCTCCTCTTTTGATACTTCTTGTAGACACTTCTCTCAACTTCCATGCATTTCATCAACTTCTATCAAAATCTAATAAAAATTTGATTTTAATCCCCACCAAACATAGGCTTATTATTAATCTCATGATTGAGAATTGTTGACTCTATTTTTTGTAATGGTCAAATGGGGTAACAGATGTCGGGCCCACTTGCGTCGACACAAGAAAATTCCAACACATTTTGACCGAAGATCCGGACAGAGACGGTTGATGTTTATGGACGTGAGATATGCTTTATGGCACAAAACAAAAATGTTCGAGCACTGCCAATACGATCCAAAATGATTGCATATAAACAAACAATCATAAACAACTCAAAAAAAATGGTAGAAGTAATCTAAACTCAAACAAATAAATATGGAATAAGCAAGAGAGAAGATTGAGTGTGGTTTCGAGTGTAAAGGGTTGTATCCGCCACAAATGTTACAAGAATTGCTTATTTATAGAATTCGAGCCAAAGTGACAGTCGTTGGATCAGAACCACGGGCCTCATCTCCCAAGCTGAAACCTCACATCACTCTGTTTACTATGTATTTAATACATTGATAAAGAGTTGCTGCCCTATTAATAAGGCTGACAATCCTGACATTCATTTTTACAAACATTACATTAATCACTCCTAAAAATTGCCTACATATCATTTAAAAGACAGCAAGGGCTTCAGCCTAAGGAGCTTCGTAGTGGATGTCTTTCAGTGTGAAGAGCTGCAGGACAGAGAGCTTCGGCTTCTTCTTTGGCTTGTTATATAGTGTTTCGGCTTCACAGTTTCAGCCACTTACATAATGCTTCGGATGATGCGAACTCACGTAGCAATTAAAGCTATAAAACTCACAACAGATTAGATGAAACCCAAGAAAGTCAAGAATCAACGTTTGAAAAGATTGACCCAATAAATTATTAAACCAAAGAACCAAGACAATCACCAACAATATCTTGACCCGTGATCAAAAAAATTGTAAACCTTGCTTAAATTGTTGAACGCCACAAGAATTAAATTCTTGTTAAGTTAAAAATTAATTCAATGAAAAACGAAAAGAAAGCAATATGCCACACAATAATATCTCTCAAATTATGTATTTTTACAATGAATGGAATGAGTCTTATTTACATGGAACCCATAAAACCTAATTAAAAATGAAATTAAGCTTTAAAAGATATAAAAAAGATACCATACAAGAGTTTTAAAAAAATTGAATTCTAGGCGAAATTTGAAAAACACGCATCCAAAATTGGGACTATACGTCTAAAAAATAGAATCCCTTCATGCGGTTGCATAGACTAGTCAATGGCCTTCAACTGAGTTTCGATAAGGGACTATACGGCTGCATGCTTAGTTACCATATGCGATCGCATGGGTCTTCAATTCAGCTCCATCATCCACCGCTCGAACTAAGTTGATCCATCTTGTTCCATTCTCCATGTCTAATATGAAACTTGTCCTTTTACGTTGTGATCGATGTTTCTTCTATCGTAACTTGAACAAGTAATCATAAGGCTTCTTTGACCTTCTTTGCTTGTGACCTATTCATTGGTCATTCCTCCACGATCAACGGGTCCTTGTCCTTGTCCTTGCTAGCTCTCATACCATTGTTCTCATCATTCCCTCCCTCTTCAAAAGGATTCTCTTCGAATCTCCACCTGCATCAAAGAAGGAGAGATCAGAAACATTGAAATTAGTAGAAATGTTATGCTCACCTGGAAGATCTAACTTGTGGGCATTGTCATTGATCTTTTCAAGCACTTGGAATGGTCCATCGCCTCTTGAAACTTTGACTTCCTTTCTCATATGCATCTAACCCAATCTTTTGGTTCAAATATAACTCGCTTTCGTCCCTTATTTACTTGAGAAGCATAATGCTTATTTTTTTTCTCAATCTAGCACAATACCTTCTCATGGAGGGATCTTACCAACTTGGCCATCTTCTTTTCATCTAAACTACCCATCTCATCAACATGTAAATGAATTAAATCAAAAGGTGTTAGTAAATTAAAACCATAAAAAATTTCAAATGGAGTATAATAAGTAGTAGAATGTGTGGCCCTATTATATGCAAATCCTATGAATAGCAAACAATCATCCCAACTCTGCAAGTTCTTATTGACTACAGTGCGCAATAGCTGTATCATAATCCTATTAACAACCTCAGTTTGCCCATCCGTTTATGGGTGACAAGTTGTAGAGAATAATAGCTTACTTCCTAACTTACCCCCACAAAACCCCAAGTCTAAATATAAATATTCATATTAGAATTAGAATTTAAAGGTAGTTTACTTACGTGAATTACGTATCGAGGTTGTTGTCCAAAGCTGTGTACTTTGAAACTTATGATCTTGTGGAAGAAGTTGGGGATCGTCAGTTGGGCAGTTTTCATCCAAGATTGTGTGCTCCAAAGTGGATTTGCGCATCTGAAGCCTTACCGAAGTTTTTGTGGTCAAACCTGAAGTGATTTACCTATATTACTTGTTGAAGCTGAAACTCAATATTTCCAAAGAGGTATGTTTTTTGAAATGTTGAGAACACGAGCTGCCTTTAATTATTATGCCAGATAATTAGCTGTCTTTTATGTTTTCGAGAAAGAACAGCTGTAAAGTTTCAACTTTTCTGTGGAAAGAGACCTCCCTAGGTGAGGACATGCACATTCATGTTTTCCAGACTCTCTTCCAACCTAGGGTCTCGGGGAAGAGTGATTCGTTGGTATTTATTGTGCCCCTGGAGAGCCCATTCTCCTTTTGTGATAGGTTTTCCTTCCTCCATCAAAGGGTGGAAGGAAGCATGGTTTTGGGTCAAAGGGAGGTGGCAGATTTGTGAGTAAAATTTTGGGTTTCTTGGCTAACAGTTCCCACCCACTACTCAGAAGCTCATGAGTGTATCTTTGATTTTTTGCAGGTTACTTACATTTATCACATATTTATGGTATCCTGACCTTCTCCATTTTATAGGTTTGGTCAATCATTTCGAACTTTTCGAAACTAAATTGGGTGTGGTAGAGGATGAATATCGTCGCCATCTATCTTCGCGCGAGTTCGAGCACCTCATATTATACCATAGATTTTATGAAGAATTTGGCCTAATGGCACGAAGATGTAGAACTTTGATCAAAGTTTTAGCTTATTGTTTTATAGGGACAATTTACTAAAGCGTCTTTGTTTGCAGAGAATTTTGAAAAAAAAAACAGCCAGCACCGAATATGGCCTCGATTTTTGTCACAACCTCTTCATCAGGGAAGAAGGAACACAAGCCCTTTTCTACTGCAACTAAGCAGATCAGGGACAAAGAGGAGAAGGTCAGCAGAAAGGCTGTTGAATCTGAGGGGGGCCTCTTTCCAAAGAACATGGGGAAGGAAAAGGTTGTGGAATCCCTTAAGAAGAAGCGCACGATCTCATCCATTGGCATAGGAGGATCAACTGCAGGTCCCCCACCTTCACCTCCAGCCCATGTTGGAGACAAATTGATGGCAACTTCCATTGCTGTTACTGCTGCTGCTAGGGAGGATTCAAATAGCCTCTTCCGCCATGTCCCTAAGGCAGAAGCTTTCTAAGAAAGGCAAGACTAGTGAAGGCTCATCTGCCAGTGACAAGGCTTCTTCCAGGGTCAAGCTTGCCTTGATAACAAATGACAAACTGGCTCCAGAAGCTCTGACCATGCTCCCTCCGCAGATCCAAATGGCTACTTTTACCTTTCACAAGTATTGGACAGGGAGGTGGCAAAACTTCGTGTAATCCAATAATTGCTGATGACCTCTTCACTATGATGTTGAGTCAAATGGGGAGGGCCTTTGAGGGTGGCCATAGAGGCTGAAGTCCTCTTTAAAAACCTTCAAAATAAAAATAAAGACTTCGCTAACAAGGCCTCCAGGGCAGAGAAAGAGGCCAGGAAAGCGACTTCTGATGCTAAGGCCATCAGAAAATAAGAAGCTGATGAGTCTCTGAAATGCGCCTCTGCTTTAGTAGAGATTGAGAATTTGAAGAAAGAAGTCCACTTGTCATAGAGTAAAGTGGCTTTCCTGACTAAGAGAGTGTGAAGACTTTAGATTCGCATCAGCAAATTGCTGCCAAGGCCCTAAAGGCTTCAAATAAAGAGTATGTCCTACTAAAGCAGCAAGTGGAGGGGCTCCATAATTGGTGGCTGATCAAAGAAGTGGAGGTGGCTCCAGCTGAAGCTCAGTCTGTTGGCGACGAGGCTATGAAATGTTACATAGCCAGCTTTCAC